TTGGTTACTCTTACTTCCTTTCTACTCAATTCACCCCATTTAGATCAACATGGATTTTGCTCGAACGAATCTTCACCAGAAGTACAATATTTTCGAAAAGTTCCAGAGAAGGAACAAAATCGAGATGTTGCTCTTAACCAGGATACATCATCTGCTGATTCCACTGATGATAAGCAATGCAATCCAAACGTCCGATCGAAAGTCTTCGTCCCAGTTTTGCCTTTGCTCGGCCCTCGAAACGAGACCAGGCGGACGCCTTCTGCAACTTCGTCACAGTCGTCGCCCAAGAACATCAATTCCCATCTCCTTAAAGAACATCCATGGGCAAAATACGTTGCTGTCAGCGAACAACCACTTCCTACATCTGAAAAATCTGTGACAAGTTCTGTGCCTCTCGATGTTTACTGCCATATTCCTACAACTGGGTACTTTTCGCACGAGTTCGTTCAGTCCCTTTTTCCTCGTCAAAATCGTCAGCATCCTAACTCCGATGAACAGTTTTCAATCTTTGAGCTCATGCGTCTCCAGAATGCCGTCGATTTTCGAGAAAATTCGCTAAAAATCATTCGCCAACTGAGTTGTAGAGTATACTCAGCTCGTGAAAATGATAATCCAAAAACACCTCCAGGTTCTATGGCTACAACCATTCTTCCACTCCCTTGGCACAGTAGTCCGGTTCTTTACCAGGTTGTATCCCGAAACAGTAGTGAACAAGTAATTCTTGAAGCCAAAGACTTCTTTATTGTTGGTCCTGATCGCGGCGAGTTACAGTGCATCGTGCTCGACCAATGTTCCACGAATATAAAGTCAGGCACACGAGGCTTCGATGGTCAACTTCTGTCGGTTAAGGATTTTGTATGGGTGTACTCTTTAGAACCTACGGCGGAGGCTGTTCAGAAACCGTCAAATGTTCTTGCAAGAGCACGAGCGCATAGAACAACCGCTCTGGATACGTCCGTACCCTATTTCTTTCGAGTGGGTGAATTTGTTTTCGTTACCCCTCCGAAAGCCACTCATTATGTGTACGGCCTCGTAGTAGAAGACAGAAGCGAGAACCTGACCTCATATAAAGTCGTTTTCGAAAGCGTACCCGAGGTAGTCACTGTTCCGCCCGATGTTTTTCAATTCCCAACGCAGAATGTTAAAAAGTACGATATTGTTCTTGCGGAGACTCGCGATAATGTCTCCACGGCGATTCGCTTCTCGGAATCACCAGTATCGGTGGATGATCAGCTTGCTCTGTGCAATTTGGTTCGGAAATTTATCCCTTCCCATCCACAAGAAGGACTGTTGCCTTTGAAAATTTTTGACATTTCTCGTGAAGACAGGGAGTGGATTGACGATCGCATCGGTAAATTCATGAACTACTCAAAAGATCCGCAATTAGCCCACATCAAGATGACACAGTTATTCAATGTCGCCGTTTCTTTTTTGTTCGCTTTCGAAGAGATGGATGACGACAAATCTACACGAAGGGTGACGGCCACTGTACTGAGCCCGAGTGCTTTCCCGGTCCGTTTTCTATTCAAATTGAACTCGAGCACAGATTCCGGGTGGAATTCGCATCGCACTGCTTTTCTGTGGATTATTGGTTCTGCTTCTGTTGTGAGCGCTCGAGTGGAAAGCATCGAATCTAACTTCCACGACGGCACCATTTCCATTCAGCTCGTCGCACTACCACGCTTTCATCATTCCCTCATGAGAGCAATCAGTAGGTACAGTTGGGAAGAGAATGGCAGGTTGTTTATTGAAATATGCGTCAAATTAGATCGCCTTCCTGGGTCGACAGTTCCTGTACTCCAGATCGTCTCGCAAAACAAACTTTTCGATAACATTTCAAGA